CGAGCATTTGCAGTTTGATTACGAGGCCTTCTTGAGAACGGCCTTGTTTGATTAATAAATTATACATCATATTAATTTTGTTATATGGGAAATAAGAAGAATCATTATTGCATTATTCGTTTTGGTTAGGGACCGTAGTCGATAGGTTGATGAAGGTCGGAAAGAACATATTTGACGACGAGTAGGGAATGATCTAGTTGGCAATCGACGGATGTCGGAAGAATCGTTGTCTGGCGACAAAGGTCACAGATGACAACAAATGGTAGGTGCTAAAGGAAACATTGGAATTCATTTATTAATTTTATCATACAACCTTAAATTTCTTACATCATCATATATCACCTTAGAATCATAACAGTTTCTTCTCTTTTTGAAACAAATGATTCAACTCAGGAGTTAACTAGCATAATGCTAAAGGTTAAAAATTTAGTTCGATCATTACACCCTCTACAATGACAATGGGTCAGATAAGCGAGTTGTATGAAAAAGATGGATGGGTTGGTGCTATAAAAAATATGAGTTGGGCCATGTTTACGGTTAAAATTTTAGGTTCAGATTTTCATAATGGCAAAGCTACAATTAAATAACAGTACAATTTTTCCTGAAGTTGAACCTATTAAAAAAAAAAAAATCAATAAGGAACTCGACGAATAGAAATCACACTTTTACAAGTTAAATAAACATTTTTTTTTATATTTCACCGTACGAAAGCTTCTATTAAAATTTCCAATAAAATAAACTAAACATTATGTAGGTAAGGCATATTCAACTGAAAATTTCAATTTTCGACTCAAAATAACAATAATACAGAAAAAACTCATTGTCAATTAAATTCATTTCGTTATAGAAAAAAAATATTATTCTATATTCTTCTACTTTATTTATATATTTCTAATCATACTATTTTATATTAAAACAAAAATATATAACGGGATAAACAGGTGCAATTGGAAGAAGGCTAAGTCAAGCAGTTTAAATCAAAAACTGAAAAATGATCAAAATTCTATTAAAGATCCATTTTTTCGCTAATGGTATAACGATCTGAGCTTAACCACGCTGAAATTTTTTATTTTCGTGCTGTAATCAGATTGTCAAACAACAAAAAAACATTTTTAATTAAAATTAAACGAGTCATTAATTCCGATCGCTCCACCGATCTCGCGCTGGCTTATGTAACAGTATTTAGTGATCCAAAATTTACCGCACGAAGCCATGAATTTATGGCATTATAATCAACATTGATTGAATACTTCACAGGTTAAGATTTGTAGGATTATTGCGATTCTTAGATGTCAAAGAAAAACATGTCTCAAAGATTTGATAAGGAATGCATACACAAAGCAACTTCGCAAGAGCAAATCAATACACAAAACTAGCTAAAAACATTTAATCATAGAGCCGCCACCAATTTGCCAGGAATTACGCATTTTCCTTCAGCCGAGATCTCATGGGACATCACGCCAACCTTCTTAACCTTCCTCCTTAGGTACCTGACGGTGAGAACGCCGTGCTCCATGGCGCCCCGTTCACGGCCGTCCACCTTTCGCATTTTCCGGTAAACGAAAGTGTCGTTTT